TTATTGATGATAAGTATCATTGCATGTGGCTTTACTTATTGCGCTCCAAGTCTAAAGTTTGTAATATTTTTTAGGAATTTTATCAAATGATTAAAAATCAGTATGGGGTGAGCATTAAAATTCTACGTAGTCATAATGGTACAAAATATATTAATCACTCTATGCATGCTTTTCTTAAATCCATGTGCATTGTTCATCAATTATCATTTGTCGGTACCCCCCAGTAGAATGGTGTTGCCGAGCGAAAAAATCAACACATACTGGAGGTCACTCATTCCTTACTCTTTCATGGAAACCTTCCCTATCATTTTTTGTCCTATACAGTACTCACCAGTTGCTACCTCATCAACCGGACACCTAGTAAACAACTCCATTACAAATCACCTTTGGTGGTTCTCCATGGCCGTGATATTGATCTATCTCACCTACGAGTTTGGAAGTGTTTGCTTTGTTCATATGCAAAACGCCAACAAACTAAAGCCTCGTGCAACCAAGTGTATTTTCCTAAGATAATCAACTGTGAAAAAAGGCTATAAGTGTCATGATGTTGGTACCCGAAAGTTATATATTTCTCGAGATTTTTACTTTGATGAGAGTTCTATGTACTTTTCTTCCAGGGATAAAAATCAGGGAGAAATTGGCATTGATATACAATCGAATTTTTCTCCCAGACCAATTCCATTTGAAACAACAAGTACAATACCATCTCTTGATGTTCCTAAAGCAGAGATTTCCACCTCTATTCCATCAGCAATACCAAATTAGATAGTTGAGACCTCAACCTCTAATCCAGCAGTAATACCAAATCAGACTGTGCGACGATCCACCAGAACAATCAAGCCATCAACCAAATTAAAGGACTATGTCTCTACGGCTATCACTTATCCAATTCAAGACTATGTATGCCTTGATCATGTCTCTAGTGGGCATAGGACCTTTCTAACACCATTGACAAGCATCATGAACCTTCCACCTTTGAAGAAGCAAAGTCAAGTCCAGAATGGCAAGCCGTTATGCACGATGAGCTTGTTGCTCTTGATAAAAATCACACTTGGAAAATTGTATCTCTTCCTCAAGGCAAGAACACTGTAGGTTGTAGGTGGATTTATAAAATTAAATATCAAAGTGATGGGTCTATTGAGCGACATAAAGCACGGCTTGTTGCTAAAGGATACACCCAGACCTATGGTGTAGATTACACAAAGACCTTTTCTCCAGTAGCAAAAATGAACACAATAAGGGTCCTTATGTCTGTTGTCGACAGTCATGGATGACTGTTCTTCCAAATGGATGTTAAAAATGTCTTTTTGCATGGAGATCTTGAAGAGGATGTCTACATGGACTTGCCTCTAGGTCACCCTCTTGAGTCTCAACCTGGTAAAGTGTGCAAACTAAAGTGTGCCATCTATGGTCTAAAGCAGTCTCCACGTGCCTGGTACGAAAAGCTGAGCAAGGCACTCACCGCTTTTGGGTTCATCCAAGTAAGTCAGACTACACTTTATTTGCAAGACACTGGAATGGAAATACCATTGCAATCCTTATCTATGTAGATAATATAGTCATTTCTGGAAATAATATGACTAAGATAGATAAATTGAAGAAATATCTCACTATAACCTTTGATATCAAGGACTTGGGGCGCTTAAAGTACTTCTTGGGAATTGAAATTGCTGAATCCAATAAAGGGTTGTTCATCTCACAGAGAAAATATGTATTGGATCTTCTGAAGGAGACTGGTAAAATGGCATCCAAACAAATTGATATCCATATGGAATACAATTGTAAGTTTGAGAAAGTCTCTATTCCTCTATCTGACCCAAGACAATTCCAAAGACTTTTTGGCAAGTTAATCTACCTCACCATTACCAGATCAGATATATCCTATTCGGTAAGCTACATTAGCCAATTCCTCCATAAACCAATATAAGATCAGATGAATCTAGCAGATCGAATTCTTAGATATTTGAAGTCTTGCCCAGGAAAAAGCATCTAGTTAGAGAGAAATGGCCACAGTGACATTGTTGGATATGCTGATGCTAATTGGGCAGGTAGCCCATACGACGGACGATCCACTTCTGGTTTTTATACCTTTGTTGGAGGTAACCTTGTGACTTGGAAAAGTAAAAAACAAGTGTAGCAGCACGTTCTAGTGCAGAAGTCGAATATTGTGCTAGGCATCAACCACCAATGAACTTGTTTGGCTTAAAGACCTCAATTTTTTTACCTTTCTTTGAAGCAAATGAAGAATCCTATTAAGTTGTATTGTGACAACTAAACTGCTATTCATATTGCATCTAATCCAGTGTTTTATGAGAGAACTAGACATATTGAAGTAGACTGCCATTTTGTTCAGGAAAAAGGTTTAAGCAAAGATAATTGAGACACCTTATATCTGACGTGAAGACCAATTAGCAGATGTGCTGACTAAGGCCCTTCCTAAGAACTAATTTCAAAATATCATTGTCAAGTTGGGCTTGGTTGACATCTTTGCCTCAACTTGGAGGGTGAGTGTTGAAAATATCAGTAGAGACAAATTAGGGAAATTGATTGATTGTAGTCTTGCTCATAAAAAGAGCAATAAATCGCTTGATGTACTGGATTATGGGCAAAATAATTTTGCCCAAATATTATATCATCTCCTATTTATATTAAAGGGAACCCCTCCCTCCTTGATCATCATTGAGAGGGGGAAAACTTCATTAGTGTAGACGTAGGCCAAATTGGCTGAACCACAATATATTTATGTGTCTTTTTTAATTTTATTCCAAGACCCTTAGAGAAGTATATCTATAGGATTTAGACTCAAAAGTAAAGGTATTTGATCAAAATATTGGACAAATGAACTGAAAGCCTACATGTTTTTCAAATTGCATATCTCATGGTCTTTCATTCTTGAATATGATTTAAAAATTTTTATGAAAAAATACTTTTAAAATGTTTGAGAAACCCAAAATATTTTTCCTAAGACAAAAACATACTTACAAAGTGATTGGAACTCCTTTGGAGTCAATTTGGACCTTAATTGTTGTATAATTTAGCTTTTATCAAGAAAGTATCTAGATACTTTCTTGTGAATATCAAGATACTTTCTTGCAATTAAAAATATTTGAATACCCCTTGAAAAGTATTCCGATACTTACTAGCCGACAAACATTTCGACGGCTATAACGACTATGTTTTGTTATAAACTTATGGGAAAAATGTGTGTCATTCATAGACACAAAGAGATGGGATCCATATATTTTTTTGTCTTTATTTTTTTTAGTGAGACTCACACCTCTTTGTGTCTACAAAATGATACAACTTATGCCATTAAACTTATTTGAATACCCCTTGAAAAGTATTCCGATACTTACTAGCCAACAAACATTTCGACGGCTATAACGACTATTTTTTGTTATAAACTTATGGGAAAAGTGTGTGTCATTCATAGACACAAAGAGATGGGATCCATATATTTTCTTTGTCTTTATTTTTTTAGTGAGACTCACACCTCTTTGTGTCTACAAAATGATACAACTTATGCCATTTAAAATGACACATATTTTTCCCTAAACTTATATATACTCATTCATTGTATCTCTAAAGATAATTTTTTTACACAACTTGATCATTTATTGAGCTTTTATTCAAAGAACTCATTGTATTTAATCTCTTTATCACATATTTTTTATTATTAGGTTCTTTGAGGTCATCATTTATAAAAGTCATCTATACCAATTAGCACTTCAACTTGTACATAGGCACCTAGAGAGTCTGAGTCATTTTGTAACATTTCCTTTGTTATACTTTTTAGATTGAGGATAATAAGATCCAAGAGGTTTTCAAACACCAAAAAAATTTGGAAGTTATCGTAAGGTTACCAAGCACCCGTAAAACTCCTGGTTTGTAGCAATTTTCCAAACACCATTTTAAGCATGGTGTATAGTGAAGAAATCTTGGGCGAGAGCTTAGTACTAGATGTAGATCACAAATAGTGATGATTGAATCGGTATAAATCTTTGTTAGTAATCTCTTTATCCACTAATGTTTTTATTCTATCACTTTATTGCTTCGCTGATATATTTTATGTGTTAATCTAGGTTGCACAATTATAATTGATTATGTATTATGGATTATAATAATTTCGTATACCAAAATTTGTTTGAAATTACAATTTATAAAATAATAATGTACTTTTGTGAAAATTTTAAAATACTAAATTCATCCATCATGAATATGGAACCTACTTTCACAACAACTTCAAGTGAAAAAAAATACTTAAAATCACCAAATTGAAGGTCAAATTAAAATTGATCTAAATTCAAAATATATGTTTTCAAAAAAAAAAAGAAAAAGATACTAGCGTAAACGAAAGGAAAGAAGATAATTAATAATAGAGAAAAATATCTGTCATTTTAAAATATATAAAGTTGTATCATTTTAAGTTAGAGAAATAAATAAAAGTTTTAATGTTTCTACAGTAAATGTAGATAAGTATCTACATTCACTCCCAAAATGATACCGTTTTGAGTTGAAAAATTAAAAAATTATAATAAAAAATATTATTATAACCCTGAAATAAATTATAATTATAAAAATACATTGATTTTCGACTCAAAACAACATCATTTTAGGCTCACTATAGATAAATTATCTACATTAACTGTAGAAAAAGCAAACCCATAAATAAAGAATGAGCGAGAAAGTTAACAAAAAAGAAATAAAAATGTGAATCTAACTTCTTTGTAAAAATGAAGGGTTTGTTTTTTCTAAAGTTACTTTAGATACTTTTATCTAATGTTCATCGAAACGACGTTGTTTTGGGACGGAAATCATGGTGTTTTTGTAATTTTAATTTATTTCAGGGTTATAATAGTCTTTATTATTCTAATTTTTTAATTTTTCAACCTCAAAACGACGTCGTTTCGATGAACATTATCAGAAACTTTTTTCCGAAAAATGAAATGAGATAAGTTTGTCTCGTCATACAGAACAAATATTTTTGGCTTAATCATAAAGTGTAGTTGGTACTTGGAGAGTTGGAGTTGGAGATACTAAAAGCTTGCTGGCAAATTGCGATATCCCGCCCAATTGCAGCTCCTTAACCTGATAGTTTTCAAAATTTGAGCTCGTTGGTTGTCTGTTTGTGACTTACTCTATAACGTTTGTGTTTTTCCAACAGTCACTGAACAGAGAAAATAGAAAGCACGCTCCAATTTCCACTTTCGAATCAAACCCTAATCCCAAATCCCTGAACCAACCCCGATCCCCAATGGCTACTCCTGATTCCACCGCGCCATCTCTCCCTCTCTCCACTGTTTGTCTTCTCTTCTCTTCTTCTCTCTGTTTCATTCATCATTCTCAGTTTCTTCGATTTATGATAATCTTCACTATCAATATTAATTATCCCTTCCTTTAATTTTTCAGAACAAGGAGAACATCACTCCGATTTCGTCTAAAATCTCGGTGCGTTTTTCATTCATAAAGTTTTTATAGTCTGATTTTACTAATGATAGTAGAGATTATTATGGAACTTCCAGCAACTAGTTTTTTTTTTTTTTTTTTCCTTTTATTGGTTGTATATGTTATTATATTTGTTTGGAATTGTTCTCAGGAACTTAATGAATCAAGATCGGAGCTTCTCGGCAGAATTCAGAGTTTGAAACAGGTAACATTTTTTCATATTCACGGTGCTGTTGGTTAGTTATGATTTTAACTCACTAATTCGACTTGCTTTAGTGCGTGTTTCATTTCTTACTATTCCTGATTTATTTATTTGTTTGTTTATTGTTTTGGATCTATTGCTAGGATTTACAAAGTTGGGGGTCGAAGTTAGACACACAAGTGAAGGTTTATCGCGATGTAAGTGATAATGATCAATCTCGGTCTGCAAAAACTTGCATTTTGCTGTGGATTTTTGTGTGAAGATGATTCTTATGCTTCATATCACTAATTCCCTTAGTGTTCTATGCTTTATCTGGATCTTTCTAAAGATGAAATGCTAGGATTGAATGCCTTTCTTTTTAATTATTTGAGGAAAATATATAAGATTGCCTTGAAGATAACTAGCAACTTGCTTTTTTTTGTTTTCCTGTGATGTTTTCATTGTCAATGTTTCATCTATTATGTTTTATCAAGTAATTTGGGTGCACATAAAATACTCTATGGTATACAAATTGATTTTTTTTGTATAATGAATTTCATGCTTTTATAGGCATTTATTAGGATAGTACCTTTTCCTTCTTTGCATCATGTGTGGACTCATGCATTGGTGCATGTTTATTTGTTTATGCTGGCTCTTCCTTGTAAACATGTTCTTGTGTAACCCTATGCTGACTTGGGAATTGGATTCTGTAAGTTGTAGAATTGGTTCATTTCCATATTCACATCACGTCACCTGTGCTTTTTCTAGGAGAATTAACTCCATAAGGTATTTCTTATGCCAAATCTGTTGTGTCAGAAAGGAAAGCTTCTAGGCTGTAATTTGAAAGTCTTCACCTCCATTGTTGCTAACTTCACATTGAACAAGACTGCATTTGATTTTGTGAATAGTCAGAACTGTCAGGATCACTTAGGTATGGCTGTTTTTCCAGATAGGAAGGATAAAATTAGTTCTGGAGAATCAATGCTTTTAAGAAGTGTTAAGGGTTCCTGGAGTTGGGTGGGTGCAAGGAACCAAAAGTGGGTGCACCCATGAGTGTCATTGAAAAGAGATGCTATATCTCAGATAATCTATAATACATTTTACAACACTGTTTTATAATATGATAAGAAGAAACCTACAATTTTGCAATATCAGCTGCAAACTGTTCGTTCCCTATATAAAGGATGTGGTTTTTACCTTAATGACACGTCTCAATCTTTTTCCTCATGAGCTCACAAGTCATGTAACTCTCTTGATCTTATTTTTCCATTTCATTCTTCGTCTCCTTAGACTCTCTGCCTTCTCTATTTGTGTGTTTTTGGAGTGTCAGAATTAATCACTCTTAAATATTTCTGTTATGTAGAAAATTAGTATTAATTACTTCTAAATATTTTTGTCATCATCATATCCCTGATAAACGGGAATCAATTAAGATTAGTTTCCTTTATCAATTAGGATTAGTTTCTGTTGATTCCCGTATTTATTTAGTTTCCTAATTTTAAGAGTCCCCTATTTAGTATAATTAGGGATTAATACTTCATCTTTTGTATCATGTCTTATCATATCAATCACGTCAATCTATAATCCCAATAATTTTAGCAGTGTTGCTCTCCTCTTATGTTTACAACTTAAGATGTGTATAGTAACCTGCTTTATTTCTAGTTTCTGAAGATGTTGTGTTTGTTTTAAGAAAAACCCCTCATGCCCCAAGGTGCATGGGGCATGGCTTGGGTGCATTTGTGATGGAGAACGGATATGAAGAGAACCAGGAACCCTTGGGCTTCCAACAACTAATAATTCTCGGGATTCAAACTGAACAATTTTTATTAATTAATATCAAATATAAATGATATAAGGCCCTTCAAGGGTAGTTATAACCCAAAGATAATCAAAATCCTATACAAATCCTAATTAAATTTAAAATCCTAATCAAATTGTTAAAGAAATATATTGTAAATATTAGAATTAGTATTTTATTTATTTATTTGTAATAGCTAGAATACTCTAGAAGCGTATTTTGGGCTTAGCCCATTAGGTCTTTCAGTACTCTTTATATAGAGAGCTCTTGTACAGATTTTACATAATTCAATATTACAAATCCTTATTATTAAATTCAAGTTGGTATCAGAGCTCTCGATTCTGAGGGCTCTGCTTTCGCAAATCACCGCCTCAAACCCCGTTTGCCTCTCGCCGCCACAAAGCCGTCACTGAAAAAATTTCCGGGGATCTTTTTGGACCGAGAGGACTCCTACTTCACTTTATTTTCTTAGACCTATCATTCTAAGGAAGTTTCATTCGCAAGGAACGACCAGAACAGCCGCGAAACAAGCAAACAACACTGTTCCGTGCCAAACAGCCTTGTTCCGGTGGCTTTTTTACTCTGACCAGCCACAGACACAGCCGCGCTCGCCAGACGACCTCACCCTGAAAAGCCCAGCCTCGCCGGACGTCACACGCGCCATCCTCCTCTCTGCGCGTGAAGCCCATGCGGTGACAGCTTCACCGGCGCGTGACAGTGGTTCTCGGCCGCGGACCACTTCTGTTCTGCTCGTCTCTTCCTGTTCTTTCTGGATCTATCCTTGTTTGTTTAATCAGACACCATTTAGTTGTTCGATCTGAAACGGAGAGATCTTTTACTGTTCCGATCATCTTGATTCTCTTGGTAGCGATATGTCAGACGTTGAAGACACATCAACCAATCAGCCTCCAACTGGTCAACCGTCTATTACAAGCCCGATGTCTATTCTTTCTCCATCTAATCTTCCTGCTCTTCATCAGAATTATCGTCTTACTGGAAAGAATTATTTACAATGGTCCTAGGTTGTTCGTACCATCCTCAAAGGACGTCGTAAAGTTGCTCATATTGAAGGACCTGTTCTTGCCAAAACAGCTCCAACATTTGCTGATTGGGATGATGAAGACTCACTTATTATGACATGGCTATGGAACTCTATGACTCCTGAGGTTAGTCAACATTGCATGTTTTTACCTACTGCTCTTGAGATCTGGAATGTTCTTAAGGCAGACCTATTCAATGAAACAAGATGCCGCCACCTGTTATGATCTGCGAAATAAGATTTTTTTCTACCAAGCAAGGCTCTTCCTCTGTGACAGAGTATTATGGCATTTTGAATGCACTGTGGACTGAGTTTGATCAATACCAAAGCCTGAATATGGAGTGTAGCAAGGATGCAGCCACTCTGGCTTCCTCTATTGAAAGAAGTCGGATTTTTGACTTTCTTTGTGGGCTCAACTCTGAGTATGACTCTATTTGGGTTCAAATTCTTGGTAAGGAAAAATTACCTCCTCTTTCTGAAATGAAGAAAGTCGCAGGGCTGTCATGATGGATACCAAAGTATCCGAAGGGTCTATTATGCTCTCATCTAAAGTTACTATTCCAACTCCTTCTAATTCTGAGCCAAATGACGGATCTGCTATGGTTTTAACTAAGCAACCACAAAGGTTTTTTCCTCCTAAGCCTAGTAAAGAGGGGCGTTGGTGTAACTATTGTAAAAGACCAGGTCACACAAGAAGTTAGTTTCCGTCTTCATGGAAAGCAATAGGTTCAGGAGAAGTTTGGTAAGTCAAACCCACGTGGTCAGTCCTTCTTTGCTCCCTTAGACATCTCTCCTGTTAATGAGACCTCATAGATGCCCGGTGAGTTTACTACTATTCGCCGTGAGGAATTGGAACGGCTTAGGTCCGTATTTGAATCTGTCAATAAACCTTCTGGTACTGGTTCGTTGGCTATGACTGGTAAGAACTCATGCACTCATTCTTTTGTTGCTTCTTGTACTGATTTCAAAACCTCATGGATTGTGGATTCTGGTGCTACTGATCATATGACTTGCTGCACTGACCCTTTTCTGTCTTATAATCCTACTGCTGATATCTGTACTATAGCCGTAGCTGATGGATCACATACATCAGTTGCAAGTTCTGGTAACATTAAAATCCAACCCTCCTTGTGTCTCAAGAATGCTCTCCATGTTCCTCAACTTTCTACCAATCTCCTTTTTACTCATAAGCTTACTACATATTTTAATTGCACTGTAACCTTTTTCCCTACTCATTGTGTTTTTCAGGATCTCACCACGGGGAAGACGATTGGAGTTGCTAAGGAGCAGGATGGGTTGTATTATCTGGTTCCAGACTTTGCTGCAGAAGGTTCCAAGGATCAAACTTCGATGTCTCGTCAGTCTACTTCAGATTCTCTTATTTGGCTTTATCATAAGCGCTTGGGTCATCCTCCTTTTAGTTTACTTAAGTCTATGTTTCCGTCTTTGTTTGTGTCTCAGTCTGTTGAGTTTTTTAATTGTGATGTCTGTCAGTTTGCAAAACATCATCGTGTATCTTTTCCTTCTAGTGAAATAAAAAGTATTGAACCATTTACTATTATTCATTCTGATGTTTGGGGCCCTTCCAAAGTCCCTAATGTTTCTGGTGCTAAATGGTTTGCTCTTTTATTGATGATTATACTCGGATAACATGAATATTTTTTATGAAAGATAAGGCATAAGTCACACAGTTGTTTATTCAGTTTTATCATATGATTGAAACCCAATCTGGTAGAAGTATAAAACGCTTGAGGTCAGATAATGGTATGAAATATGTTAATCAGCATCTTTTCCAGTTTATTAGAGACAAAGGAATGACTCATGAGCTCACGTGTGGATACCCCTCAACAGAATGGGGTTGCTGAAAGGAAAAATCGGCATTTGCTTGAAATTGCTAGAGCATTGTTGTTTCAGACATCTGTACCCAACTCCTACTGGGGAGAAGCTGTATTAACTGCAGCCTATTTGATCAACCGTTTACCCTCCCGTGTTCTTGGCCATGTAAGTCCTGTTGATCTCATGACTTCTTTCTTTCCTCCTATTCCTATTATGCAGAGTCTCCAGTCTCGTGTCTTTGGATGTGTTGCCTTTGTCCATATTCATAAACAGCATCGAAGTAAATTAGAACCTAGAGCCTTTAAGTGTGTCTTCCTTGGCTATGCTCCCAACAAAAAAGGATACAAATGTTACCATCCTCCCAGTCGTAAATTCTTTGTCTCTATGGATGTTAGCTTTCATGAATCTGAGTCCTACTTTCAACACCCTCATCTTCTGGGGGAGAACAATATAGAAGCTTCATCCATATTCTCTGAGTCTGAGTCTCCCTTTCTGTTGCCTACACCTATTACCCAAGTTGAGAAGGAAGACTTAGTTACTGCTGA